AGATATTATTAATGACTATCCAGTAGTTATTCTTGGTATTTTTTTTTCCTGTGGTATTGGGGCTTAGTAGTCTTACTTTCTTAAGTAAAAAACTATTGGACTGTAAGCTTATTGAAGACAAATACAACTTATTTTTGTTATTTCAGGACTAGATGCAATATATTGCTTACAATAGTCATTCAACTTTTTAAAGTGAAAGAAAGTAAATAAAACAGAAAGCTCCTGTATTAGTTTGCTAGGACTGTTGTAATAGTACCACACACTGGACGTGCACTACTGAAGGCTGTAAGTCTGAGATCAGGATGTTGCAGGATAGATTCCCACTGGGCTGTATGAAGGAGAATTTCTTTCCAGGATTCTCTTTGGCTTGTAGAAGGCTATCTTCTCTCTGTGTCTTCACATGGTTTTCCCTATGTACTGTTCTAATTTCCCTATTTTATAAGGAAACAAGTTATATTAGATTAGATCTTGTCTTACCTTACAGGCATTACTTTAACTTGATTCCTTCTGTAAAAGCCCTATTTCCTCATACTCAGAGGTAGTGAGAGTTAGGACTTCACCATATGAATTTGGCACGAATGTAATTGCACTCAAAACACCTTTGTTGAGGCTGGTGTATTTTATATAAAGAGGTAGTGACATATACAATTCATTGAAAAACAAATTGGGTAATCCTATATTTAACATCAGTTTGGGGACCCACAACTATTTGTCCCTTTGCAATTAATGCTATGTGGTATAATTTGCACCCCAGTTCATTTTATTATCTTTCAATTTATAATCACAAGTTGGCAGCTAATCATTGTACTAGTTTCCATTTAGTGTCAGAAAAGGAGGCTAAGTTTGAAAAGCCCAGTAGAACTAAATCCTTTATCTCCCCTTCCCATTTTGATTTACGGTGTTTGGAATAATCTAAATCATCCCCACTATTGAGACTTCTTAAGTTTTAAAAGACAAAAAAGCATTATCAGTTAATTAGTATTGAAAAAAATTAGATAACATCTCTCTTTTATAGTAGGTGGATTTTTATGTACAACTTAAAAGAGGTAGTCATTTATCTCAAAATGTGCACAGTTCTCAAAGTGTGATCCCTAGATCAATGGCTCAGCATTACCTGAGGAATTTTAATAAGTGACTTCTTAGACCCCATTGAAGATATACTTGAGTTAGAAATTCTGAGGGAGTTCAGGAATTGATTTTAATAAGATTTACAGGTGTTTCTTAATGTATACCAGTGTTTGATATAGGACTGAATAGAAGCATAGTATCTAATTTTATTTCTCTAAATAATTATATAAATATATGTAGAGTTGCATTTCTTTCCTTTCTAGCATTCTGTTGGTTATAATATTTGATTAGGAATACCACCACAATTCATTACATTGTTTTTCTAAGGGATCATTAATTGCTATTGTTGTTTTATTGTGTGTCTTTCTGGGAATGCATATAAGGAAAATACAACTTATATATTATTCTTTCCCGTTTCCACTCTGCAAATGGCAACAAAAGCCCTTGCTACTTTCACTTACCATTATAACCTAGAAGTGTTTCTGTATCACTATATTATTCTTTTGTCTTTTTCTTTCTTTTAAACAGCTCTTCAGTAGTCCTACTATATGAATGAATTTATCAACTCTCCAATTAATGTGTTGCTATTTTTAAAATTCTGTGAAATAGTCTGGTATGTGTATGTACATATATATTATATACAGATATACACACATGTGTGTAATTTCACAAATGTATAGCTATATTCATAGCATAAGTTCCTAAGAATGTAATTCTAAGGTCAAAATATATGTGTGTGTGTATGCATCTATGTATGCACATTGAGGTAAAAACCCTCAACAATGCTAGCAAACCAAAGTAAGCAGTACATTAATAGAATTATACACCATGCCGAGGTGGAATGTATTCTTGGAATGCAAGGGTGGTTCATCATAAGGCAACTGATGAATGTAATGCGCCACATTAACAGAATGAAGGATAAAGAAAACCTACAGCAAACATCATATGTAGTGGTGAAAGACTTAAAACTTTTCCCCTATGACCAGGAACAAGGATGCCTACTTTTATTACTTCTATTCAACATAGTACTGAAAGTGGTAGCCATAGAAATAATAGTCAAGAAAAGTAATCAAAAGGATTCTAATTAGAAAGGAAGAAATAAAAATATCCCTGGAGATTAAAATAATATTATAGGTAGATAACACTGTCAACTCTCTTTACTTCTAGTCTGCTAGACCTAGTAAATGAAATCAGTGAAGCGGCAATGTTAACACAAAATTAAGTTGCCTTTCTATACATTAACAAAGAACAGTCTGAGCAGGAAATTACACAAACTCTTATACTTACAATAGCAATAAACAGAGTAAAAATATGGGCACAGTGGCATGTTGGTAATCCCAACTTGTTCATGGTCTTAAACAAATTTGCTTGATTGAGGAGATTAAGGCCAGTTTAGGGAACATAGTAAGACCCTGTCTCAAAAACCCCTTCAAGGTGGGCTTATAATAGCTCAGTGGGAGAGCACTGAGCACCCAAAAGAATAAAATATGTACAAATTAACCAAGAATGTGAAAGACACATACAGTGAGAAGTATAAAGAATTGCTGAAAGAAAGAAGAGATAGATAAGTGGAAATATCTCATGTTCAAGAATTAGATGACTTAGATGTCAATCAATACTGCCCAAAGCCTTTCAGTGCAGTCCTTATGGAAATTCCAGTGATGTTTTTATAGAAATAGAAAAGTCTTTTCCAGAATTCATATCAAATCTTAAGGGACTCTCAGTAGCCAAACTAATCTTAACCCAAACTCAAGAAAGATGGAAGAGTCACACATCCTGATTTCAAAACTTAACAACAAAGCAGTAGTAATCAAAACAAGCATAGTGTGGCTCACACCTGTAATCCTAGCTACTCCAGAGGCAGAGATCTCAACACAAACTTTGCAAGATTCTATCTTGAACAATGTTGGGCCCTGTGGCATGTACCTGTCATCCCAGCTACACTAACCAAAGCAGCTGGGGCTAGTGGCTCACACCTGTAATCCTAGCTACTCAGGAGGCAGAGATCAGGAGGATTGCAGTTCGAATCCAGCCCAGGCAAATAGTTCCCGAGATCTATCTGGAAAAAACCATCACACAAAAGGGCTAGTGGAGTGGCTCAAGGTGTAGATCCTGAGCTCAAACTACAGTACTGTGAAGAAACCCAACCAAACAAACAAACAACAAAGTTAACCAAAACTAAAAGGAATGTTAGTTTGGCTCAGTGGTACAGTAGCCTAGCAAGTGTAAGTCCTTGAGTTCAACTCCCACTACTGCCAAAACAACAACAAACAGCAAAAAAACCCTGTATGGTACTAACATAATGGCAAATATGTAATCCAGTGGGCTAGAATAGAAAGCCCATAACTAGAGTTGTGGTTCAAGAGGTAGAGTATCTGCATAGCCAAGCATGCAGGAAAAAAAAAAAAAAAAGAAGGCATAGACTACAGAACCAAGGATAAACCCTCATATATAAAGTCAAATGATTTTTAACAGGATGTCAGTATCATTCAGTGAGGGAAAGGATAGTCTTTTCAACAGGTAGTGCTGGGAAGACTGGATATCCAAATGCAAAATAAAGAAGTTGAGCCCTTACCTAACACCATATACAAAAATTCACTTAAAACAGACCAAGGGCAAAAATACAAAACCCAACATTATAAACTCTTAGGAGGAAATACAGTGCAAAATCTTCACTGCATTATAATTGTCAACATTTTTTGGTTATGACGCAGGCAGGCTTCCAAAAAAAAGGGACAAATTGGGTTGCAAGACATTAAAAAATTGTGTGCATAAAAGGAACTACTGACAGAGTAAGAAAATAACCCACAGAATAGAAAAATTTTTGAATGTCATGTGTCTGATCAAGTAGATTGATATTCATAACACATAAATAACTTGTAATGGGCAAAGAATTCCTAAAAAGGGTGTGATAAGGGATTAATATACATAATATTTAGAGAAATTCTCATTTTCCCCAAAGAAAATATACAAACAACAATAAGTATATGAAGAGATGCTCATCATCACTAATCATTAGGGAAATGCAAATCAAAACTATAATGAGATAATCACAAACACCCATTATGATAGATAATGTAAAACAAAAACAAAAAAACCCCAAACCGGACAATAGCAAGTGTTGACAAGGACATGGGAAAATTGGAACCTTTGTGCACTGTAGATGGGAATATAAAATGATAATGTCACAGTGAAAAGTAGTATAATGGTTCCTCAATAAAATAAAAATACAATACATTAGCCATTTTCTGTTGCTGTAACTGAATACCTGATGGGTAATTTATAATGTTATAAAGTTTATTTTGGGTTAGCATGCTGGAGGCTATAATTGGTGAGTACCACATGCTACTTCTTCCTACTCATAGTGGAAAGAAGGAAGTGAGAAAATGTGGGTGTAATTAATCTGGTCCTGAAAGGGCAAGAACTTGGTTGGGAGAGAGGCATCAATCTATTTTTAGAATAGATTTAGACATCTCCCACTATTCCCTACTCACCAACATTGCCCCGGTGGCAGTAAAATTGCAACAGGAATTTTGGAGGAGACAAAGTGTGTTCAAATCACAACACAAAGCAGTTTCACTTCTTGGTACATATACAAAAGAATTGAAAACAGGATCTCAAAGAGATAATTTGTGTATCCATTTTGGTAGCATTATTCACAACAGCAGAAATGTCAAATTCAATTGTCCATTGCTGGATGATAGATAAGCAAAATGTGGTATATAATGGTTTCAAATGAAACTCTTTAGTTTCTTTCTTTTTTTTTTTTCATTTACTCAGTATTATGGCTTTATTTTGTGATAATTGTTTGAAAATTTAAAATGACATAGAGCATTGATTTTTGTGTATGTGTGTTTTTAAAAATCCTATGTTCCCCCCTTCCACATTTCTTTTTTTTTTTTTATACACTCTGTTAAAGTATTAAACAGATTTTTATTTTAATCTTTGGAACAAAAAATGTCCTTTTGGGCTGATACCAGTACTTTTTGTATGCCAAGTTACTGACCAGAGTCTATTTTTATAGGTCAAGATAGAAACCTCTGAAAACCAGAGTTTATAACGGAAACATTTACAGGCCCTTAACTATCACAGAGTACATGGCAATATTGAAATCACAAGGTACAAGCCATAAGATTTCACATGTAAGTGAACATTGAATTTTAGCAATTGTGTTGTCAAATGCCTTTCAACTAAAACTGACTAAGTATCAAGGTGTGGGTGAGGCCATCAAGGCGCATTAGGCATGCCTGACTCTTGCCCTCTGAGTATTTGTACCCAAGCACTCTGACACTGAAGCACACTTGAACAAACCTGTTGGGATTTAGCCTTGTGAATGGATTTGGTTGGAGAGAAGAACACGAACTTCTTTCTCTTTGTATTTCCCTGTAAACCCTGAATGTTGCTGCATGTATAGATCATTACACATATTCTGGGCATTATTACAAACAAGTAAACTAGTCAGTTACATCTTCATTTTAATAATAGCACTGATGAAAGTTTAAACTTTATGTTTTAACACAGTCAAGGAAGTTTGATATTAAGTAGGTAAATGACTTAAAAATTTACCATGTTTGTTTCGCTTTCAGAGATCCCATCGAGGTAAGAAATAAAAATAGCCTTTGTTAAAGACCACATTTGATTACTCAGCTGAAAGATAAATCATTGAAACAATTTGAATTGCTTGAATCCTTGAATTATTATGCTTTGTTTAGTTACATTTTAATTTAAACAGGGTTTGTGGGTACCATTAATTAATGATCGCCATCAGTTAAGAATGAATGAATGATCTTACAGCATACTAGTCCCTTGAAAGGGAAGTAGGGACTTAGGTTATGTCAGATGCTTATAACATAATCGTTAGAAAGGTTTACAATATTTAGTTAATTTGAATGTTCATGAGGGTTGAATTCTCACATTTGTAACACTAACATTGTCTCCTCTGTTTCTGCCTTTTCTTTATCTTGTTAAATGCTAGAGAGAAGCAGAGGTGTTATGTCAGATATGCTATTTCAGAAGCATTGTGAAGTGTTAGAGAAAAATCTAGTATCTTGTAGGAAGATAATGAAGTGATAGTTTGTTGCTACAGATTTTGCAAGTACTGCCAAAAGGAATAGGTAAAGAAGATGTTAATTTGAATCTAAATCAGATTTTCTGTTCCAGTTTAAATTTTTGTATCCATTGTCATATATGTAAGGAACTACTGAACAAAGACCACACCATGTGCAGAAAAAGAAAGATTTATTGGAAGTAAAGACTGCCAGGTTGACCCTTGGGTTCAGGGTGCAGCAGCTTGTCTGGAATGGGTAGAGGGCTTTATAGGAGGGACCACACCACAAGGGAGGGAGGGTGTTCCTCCCAGAAAACAACCAGGCTGCTGGCCTCTGTTTATTTGTGATCACCAAATGAAATGGGTCGATATGCATAGCTAGTTGAGAAACAGGAAGTTCCTGCAGTTTTGCAAGCAGGGAAACAAGCAGGAGAGTTTTGCAAGTGGTCATAAATCAAGGGGGTCTGGTTTCAATGCTAGCCTCAGGACCCTCTGCCTGCCCCAAGAATGCCAGGGACCTAACATTCCAGCTTTTTGTTGGTATTAGGGTGCCAGTCAATCTTTCTGCTTCCTGCTGAGTGGGGGGTGTTGTAAAAAGTGGGGGATCTGGCCAGAATTTGGAAATGTGTGAGGTCCCCAGGAGTGGAGGTGGATGGTTTTTCCCAGGCTTCATTTGCAGACAAGACCAGTTGTCGGTAGGCTGGAGAAGGTTGTAGTAGCATCTGGTGAAAGTCTGTCTGCTGAGCTCCCCAAATGATCCTGGAGGCATCTAAGAAGGCAAGGGATGATAAGGAGTAGGGAGAAAATGGCTGCCAAAGATCAGAACTGACAGAGCAGGCCTTTGATATAGCAAAGGTAAGGAAGATAGAAGATTGGCATCCCTTAGTTGGATAGAAGGTGGAGTTAAGCAGAGTATGTGGGTAAAATCAACTTGCCAGTCTTCTCCAGGTATAGAGTCCCGGAAGGTTGGTGAGCCGAGAAGGTTGGGGGTGGTCCGGTGTGGTGGGTTTTTCTCATTGGCCATGGATTCACGGGCTTTCTCAGGTGAACTAGTTTGGTTTGCACCTTTATTGGGGGAGGGGAAACAATCTTGAGAGCATTTTGCTCATCAGCCCTGTGGCAGATCTGTCAGACTCTGTATCTCTCCTTTAGGATGCAGGAATGCAGGCCTCCATCTCTCCAGGATGTAGGAATGATATTGCTCCCCATTGGGGATGGGATACTCACTCTTCTGCCTTACAAATCCCCCCTCTGAGACGAACACCCAACTGCTGTTGGGGAGAGGGGCAATGACTTATCTAGCTGCTTTGGGCTGACAGTGGGGTGACGGGGGGATAGGGGAGAGGGTACTTGTCTCAGTGGTTGACCTGTGTAGTCTCTAGGGGCCACTGATAGAACAGGATGGAGGGCTCATGCCTAGGCAGAGGTGAGCATTCCTTGGCAAAAAGCTGGAGTTTGATCTGTTGAACCTGTCAAGATCCAAATCTGGAGAGAGCATTTATTTTACAAGACCCAACTAGGAATATTAGAAGGAGCATAAAAAGGTGTCTGCTAAGGGATACATATCTAGGGAACCAGATTCTGCAAAATCCTATAACTCCCAAGAAAGCTCTAAGCTGCTTTATGGTATGGTGGTCGATTCCCTCATGACTCAGGGAGTGAGTCTGTCCCTTTAAAAACACACCTAGGTAGGTGACCTATGGGAGGCATAATTGAGCCATCTCCTTAAAGACTTTGTATCCCTGGAGGCCAGAAAGTTTTTAAAAGGACTCAGTCACCCTGCAGATGAGGGGCTCTGTGGCTCTGCACAGAAGTGCGTCATCAACTTATTAAAGAAGGGTGGCCTCTGGGTAGTGCCAGCCTAATAAGTCTTTGTTTAGGGCCTGTCCACAAAGATGAGGGCTGTCTCTAGACCCCTGTGGCAAGACTGTCCAAGTTAGTTGCTATGAAGTGTTTATGGGATCTTCAAAGGCAAACAGAGGCTGACTTTCAGAATGCAGTTAAATGTAACAGTTTTGGATAAAAGAGAGCTTTAGCTCATTATTTTATATAAATTTACACTTCTAATTTCGTAAATGTTTGTATCATATTTAGATAAAGTATAGGCGCAACACTGTTATAAGGTGGTCATTTAAGACACATGAGCAAATACATAAATGAACTCTGATTTAGTAGTACTTAAAGCTTGACAAGATCAACAGAAAACACAAGTAATTTCTTTGATAAAATCTTTCCCTATAACAGTTTTTTGTAGATGTTACTCAGAGCAGAACAATATTAAGATAACCTTGTTATTTTATAGACATTGAGAATTTGATTTTAGTTTGACATGACCCTAAAAATCTTTTAGGCAACTCTTAGATTATAGTCAGCTTTTAACTTTATCACACACTGAAGCTTTTTATTATACACTTTTAAAACTTTCTCAGACCTTCATATAACATTCTAAACCCTTTGATGGTTTGTCCTTATCCCTCCTCTCCATATTTGAAACAATCTTTAGGACAAACCCTTCTTTACAAAATCTTTTCTCATCCAAAAAACCATTCCTTTTTTCCTTTAACTTCTTAAAAAATACACTCAATACATGTCTATATTCGTTCCACTTGTTTACTTTGTAACTTGTATTTTAAAATTAACTTTTATAAAAATTTTAAATTTAAATAGAAATTTTTTTTTATTGGCTATTGGAAGAGACCGTTCACCCCCACCACAGAGATCTGTGAAGGATAAAGCTTACCCAAGAAGTCAGGTAGTACCAAGTAGGTGATTGAGGCCTACCTTCTACTTGAACAGTTACTCTGGGCTCCTCCAAGGTGATCTTGAAGGGGGCCAAGGTCCCAGGGCTGTGTCAGGCTTCTGTTACCAGGCCTAAGAGGTCCGTGAGGGCTTTAGTCTGGTGGGAATGGGAGTGAGAGACTGACCTACCTTGTGGAGGCAAAGAGGGGCAGTCGATCCTCCAGTTACCATTTTGACCACATTGGGGACAGGGTCCTGGCAGTGGGCAAGGTGAGGGGCAGCCTTTTGCCCAGTGTCCCATCTGGTTGCATTTGAAGCAGGCTCCTGGAGGCCTGCGCTGTTGTCCAGCCCTTCTCAGAGTCAGAGGAGGTGGCCTCAGGGCACCGCCAAGAGCTAGGCCTTTTGCTGGTCTCAAACCTCATCTTGATTATTAAATACCTTAAATGCCATTTTCACAAGATCTCCTTGGGGGGTTTGAGGGCCATCCTCTGCTTGTTTACATTTACTTCGAATATCAGGAAAGGATTGGGAAATAAAATCAGTTGAGAATAAGAATAGTGGGTTAGGGTTTCAGTAAGGCACCCTAAGAAGTCAGTGGGGTTTTCATTTGGGCATTGGATAATTTCTCTAGGTTTGTCAAGATTAAGTGTCCTGTGAGAGCAGATTGTAGCACCTCAAGGAGGCAGGTGAGCATATAATTTCGGACAGCCAGCATGGTGGGTCAGAGCAGTGGGAGTATTGGGTAGAAGAAGAGGTTGGGGTGGAGGGTCTATGAGAAGAGATGCTATGAGTTGGGCGGACTGAGTCAGTGAGGTCATAAGTAAGAGAAGAATCTTCAGGAGAGGGGCTAGGAAGAGTTTTAGATTTTGAGGGGGCTTGTTGCTGGCAAGGAGGATTTGAACAGTGTTACAAGATTGGAACAGGGAGGGTCGAGAGTGGAGAGAAAAGCTTGAACATATGGAATTTCGGATCACTTGCCATTACAATGGCAGAAATTGTTAAGATTTTTAAGTGTGTGAAAATCAAAAGTACCATTTTCAGGCCATTGGGATTGATTGTCTAGCTTGTACTGAGGCCAAACGGTGTTGCAGTAATAAATCAGTCACTTAGGTTTTATATCATGTTGGAGACCAAGGTTCCTGAGGGAACAGAGAGGGCATCCCAGGGGCATGGATGCATCTAACTTAGAGTGTGTGGTCCCCATAATGTAGTTGGAAGAAGAGAGAGAGAGATTGAGAGAGTGAGGTATGTGCCTCGGTGAGTTTACTTGTCAGGCCAATATAGATCTAGGTCAAGATCTAGCTTCCCTTATGTGACTCAGGCAAGGACAGCAGAATTGTTCAGTTGCTGTTTGGT